ATATATATATATATATATATATATATATATATATATATATATATATATATATATATATATATTTATATATATATATATATATATATATATATATATATATATATATATATATATATATATATATATATATATATATATATATATATATATATATATATATATATATATATATATATATATATATATATATATATATATATATATATATATATATATATATATATATTTATTTATTTATTATATAATATATTTATCATATATTATGTATATATATATATATATATATATATATATATATATTATAAATATTATATTATTATGGTTTTATATATATATATATATATATATATATATATATATATATATATATATACACATACATACATATACACACACACACCTTTCGTTGGTCTCCAGAACAGACCGCTGTTGTCCATTGACTTATTAACAATGATTATTATGTCCTAATTACCCTACCATTGCCTAGTTAAGCCTTTAAATTGGACTTTATTATGCATTTTATGATGTTTAACTATTAAATCTAGTATGTTTATTGGTTGAAATTTGGCCTGTCCCAATGTCTTTTTTGTTGTAGGACATATTGCATCACAATTTATTGTGATGAACGATATTATTGTCATTTTAAGATCCTTTTATGCCACACATTATTATTAAATGACAATATAATATCATCACAATGCAAAAGCACTCTTTCACAGAACACATCATATTTCATTATTAAGAATATTTGGTTTAATTATAGTCATTTTAGCAATTTATTAATGAGGCATTGAAGTCAGAATGTGAAACCACATATCCCGAATAAACAATAATATCTGTTAAAGGTTAAGAGTAACAGAGGCTGTGATATCTGCTGCCAGATCTATTTTCAGTCATCAGACACCCACATGAAGATATACTATAGTCATTTACAGTAAATACTGCAGTGTTTTTAAACATACAGACACCACTAACAGAGATAGAGATGATGCACAATCAGCTCAAATGTTGCTAGGATTAGTGTTGTATGTGTGAGCGACTTATATACTGCATCACCATTAATGATTGCGCTCATGGCCATCGATTGATTATTGATTAATGTGTTGAGAATATCTCTGTTAAACAGCACATGGGAATATTTTGATTTCACAGGAGGGCTAATCATTGGTCTGTCTGTATAAACTAGATATTTAAAGTGTGTTTTTCTGCAGATCATGTTAAAAATGTATGATAGTCGTTATTTGTGTGCTGAAAAAAAAGCAATAGACTCCAGTATGATACACCGGGATAATTTGAAAGCTGTATCACACTTGTTTACACTTATACTGTAGGTCTATGGTCCTGTGTTAGTGGTTAGACAGTTCAGATGATGCTCTGTCTCTCTGTGTGCATGAGATGATTGTGCAGGCTGTAATGTGATCAGTGTTTGAACAGTCCGATATGCAGAATCTGCTGCTCCTCTACAGTCTAATGGCTCAAAGTGAAGCTGATCCACAAAGGTGAAGCAACAGCAGTGAACAGAGGAGCCGTTCAGGGTGAAGGGTGTGTTCAGGGGCCCGCTCAACAAGCAGACTACTGTTCACACACACAGTTTCTCTCATGAAAACACACATACACTTGCACACATACACACAACATACTTATTCATACAAACTAATACTCCTACACACACACACACACACACTAATACTTTCACTTACCCACAACATACTTAGACACACACTGCCACACTCAAACTCACACTACACACACAAACAGGGATGATAACAAAATATAAGCAATTTAAGCATAAAATATGTTTATATAAATATTTATAAGCATAAAATAAACATTTACACACTATTTACTCTCCCTCAAGTGATTCCAAACCGCAATGAGTTTCTTTCTTCTGTTTATTGATAATAATAATAATTATAATATTAATAATTCAGCCATATTGCAGAAACGTGTGGTGTGCAGACCGCAAGCCACACTCCAGCTGATTGGTGGAGAGGAGATAGAGGGCTCTATTTTACCTGTCTAGGTGCAAAGTCTTAAGTGCATGGTGCAAAAGCATTAAGGGTGTGTCTGAATCCACTTTTGCCATTTTAAGGATGAAAAAATACAGTTTGAGCCTCCACCATTCGGCCTCTTTACTTTCTCTTTACTTTACTCCTTTACTTTGGTGGAGTGAGGAAACGGTGCTGTACACACTCCACTGAACACATCCATTAGCCAATATATTTATTTACTTCATTAAGCGCAAAGATTTGCTATAAAACTATTTCTAAATTCAGTTTCAATCTCCAGCAAATGAATAAATGAACGATAATACCGAAGTGCGAGTTATATACAAGTTTTGTGGAGTTTTGTGCGGGTGCAGACTGAGTTTTCCTTTAGTAACACTGTGATCTCTGTGTGTGTTTCTGCAGGAGGATGATCTGCAGTTCCTCAGTTTGGAGGAGAGGGAGTGTATCCAGTTCTTCGAGGAGACCATCGACTCTCTGGAGGAGAAAGAGCGGCCGGAGCGAAGAGGAAGAGGAAACGGAAACGGTAGAGCAAGTGGAGCAGAGTGGCAGGTGGAGAAGCAGGAGACGCGCGCTTCAGCACAGCACAGTCCTGCAGATCAGGACATCATCGATCTGGTCCACCCGACAGAGCACACACACAGACCCACAAACACACTGACAGGTACACACAACAACAACAACCACAAGAGATGCTAACAATTAACGTACAAAACTAACCATATTGATTTTGTTAGCGTAGATTGCTAGTTTTGTAGTGAATAATTCATCAGTGCGTGTCATTTTCTGCCTAGTGCCATGTTAAATCTCATATTTTAACTTGTCGTTTCTCCATTTATCATTTTTGACCCTGAATAAAAGCATTTGTTCTTACGCAGCTGTAAATTTGTTCACTTTGGCAGATCTCCGAGAGCTGGTTTCTCCTGCAGAGACTCATGTGAAGGCCAGACGAGACTCCAACACATCAGACAACCAGCGCAGGAGCAGTCTAGAGCTCCCACAATCCCACAAACACGGCCCTCCGACCCACGCCAAGCCCACACGCCTCCCCGAGAGCATCAGCCTCCTGCTGGGCAGCCGCGAAAACATCCCGCACTCCATCGCAGCCGAAGCTGTGAGCGTGCAGGAGCGCCGCGCGCTAATGCTAGCAAACCTCAGCGGATCAGCTCACCCTCTGGATGGTGGAGAACCAGCGTGTGTGCGAAACCTGCCCATGCGCAGCGTATCATTTTGCGACCCAACGCCAGATAAATCCAGAATGGAGGCGCTTTCAAAACTCGGACTCGCTCAGAGACGAACGCAATCCGTCGTGCACACAAAAGAAGAAACCAATGCTAAACCTGCAGTGATGAGCACTGAAACCAGATTCAACCCCAAATCTGACGTGCACTCATCTCTAAAAGAAGAATCCAGTGCAAAACCAGCAATGATGAGCACTGAAGCCAGATTCAACGCCAAATCTGACACTCATTCTTCACCAAGAGATGCAGAAATCAAAGCTAAACCTGCTACGAGGAGCGAAAGCATGGAGAAAGCATTTAGATTTAACCACAAATCTGAAGTCCACTCTTCTCCAGTTGAAGAAATCAGAGCTAGACCTGCTACAAGGAGTGACAGCATTGAAAACTCATTCAGACACAACCCTAAATACGAAATACACTCCTCTCCAGTTGAAGAAATCAAAGCTAAACCTGCTACGAGGAGCGATAGCATCGAGAAAGCATTCAGATTTAACCACAAATCTGAAGTTCACTCTTCTCCAGTTGAAGAAATCAAAGCTAAACCTGCGACAAGACGCGACAGCATCGAAAACTCATACAGATACAACTCTAAATCTGACATTCACTCCTCTCCACTTGAAGAAATCAAAGTTAAACCTGCGGCAAGAAGCGACAGCATTGAAAACACATACAGATACAACCCTAAATCCATCATACACTCTTCCCAAAGTGAAGAAACCAAAGCTAAACCTCAAATAAGACGCAACAGCACTGAAAACACCACTCTCAGATCTGACCAAGACACTACAGATCATCCCAAATCTCCAATGCTCACCAGCGCTGAAGTCACTCAAAGCGGCTTCAACAGCTTCGGTGGAAAGAGCATCACTCTGAACCCTACGGCCTCCTTCAGAAATGAGTCCCCGTCCATCCCGGCGGCCAAAACAGAAGCACCGGAGGTCCATCTGAACAGCTTCGGCGGCAGATCCAGAGTCGTGAGCTTATCCGAACACACCCGACCCAAAACCTTCAACTCTACAACTGATGACAAGAGCTCCAACTCAGAGCCATCCTGGAGGAAGCAGGCGCCCACTCCTGCTCCGAGACCCCAAAGAGCGCAGCCTACAAGTGGCCCACGGCCTCCAGCATCCCCAGAGCACCGCCGCAAGTCTCTGCCCAAACAGTCCTTCCGCACTCAGGGAATTACGGTGCAGTTTTCAGGACGCGGAGCCACCGATGAGGCCCGCCGGGACGCTCTGCGCAAACTGGGACTGCTAAGAGACACGTCCTAACACTCAAGTGTATGTCAGCATTGCAGCACAGCCTGTAAAAGTACGCTGCATTCAGAAAGATCCCTGGCATTTACTACCTTTTTTAAGCTTAATTAGCAGGGCTCTCATTTATAAACGTGATGTACAAACAAAACACCACTTCCCATGCAAACAAACAACTCGATGGCAGAATGCAAGGTTTTTAAGACAACTAATATACATCTAAACATAGACTTCTTGGATAAAACAAGGATAAATTTGTAAGTAAAGATCTAATAGACGTATAACAATAGTCTAAAACTAACTTTAAGGCGTACAAACGAGCAACTAAAGACTGGTTATGTGGTCTAGGCTCGTATACTAAAAGCAGTTTGACAGAGTAGAACAGATTCTAGAATCCTCATTCTATGATGTCATAGGATGAATAAGTTCCACTTAATTCACTGCCTGTTTAGAACTGTTAATCATATTACAGCTCAAAGCCAATCAGAGCAGTGGGCGTTTACTATTGAGTCTACAATTGGCCACGCCTATTCAGTGTTCTGATGAGTCAGAAACAGCTCAGACAATAATGATAAATGCTACTATGTTTGATGATGATCTTCACACCGTTATAAGCGCACCTCAGAGAACTGTGCATTACTAAACAATGAGATAGTTCATGACCCCTTTAAGAGCTACAAAAATACAGTTGTGGATATCTGAATTGATGAATCAGCATCGCACA